TGCCAAGATTGCCTACCCCTGATTTAGCCTGAACTACTACAGCCATACCTGTACCCACCTCAATGAGCAGCTCTGATCACTGAAGAATATAGTCAAGTATAGTCAAGTAACCTCTTTGAGTCCCGACTGCGCAATTGTAAACAAAAGTAGAGCAGAAGCAGAAGGTACAGTCAGTGCAGAGTGCAGGAGGTGTCAGTGCCAATGCAGAAATATAGTTTTCAGTTCTCCTACTGCTGCTGCCAGCTGTGCTGTGTGCGCGCTCCTGCCTGCCGCCCATGCTGTCATAAGACAACAAGAGGCTGCCCCGCACATATAAACTAGACATGTGCACTGCCCAAAAATTCGTTTAGTTTTAAATTCGGATTTGTGTTATTTCGTTTTTCAGGATTCGGGTGTGAAAGTCAATTCGGATTCGGAATTCGGATTCGGACGGAATTCGGTAGCGTTAGTACGAACGTTCGTTTCATTTTCTGTTCTTATTCGTTTCTTATTCGTTTCTTATTCGTTTCGTTCGTTCGTTTGCAGCAAAAGTGACATTTGAGGGGGAAAAATATTTTTCTCCTTCTCTAATGTCACTTTGCCCCAACGAACGAAACGAATAAGAGCACTGGTTATACTGGGCAGAGGAGTGACACTAAAAGTGAGCACTAAGTATACTGAGCAGAGGAGGTGACTCTGGAAAAGAGCACTGGTATACAGAATAGAGCTGTAACACTGCAAGAGAGTGCTCACTCCCAGTGTCTCACTCCCAGTATCTTTTAATGTCAATTTAAGGTGCACATACACCTTACGATTATCGCACGGTTCGAACCGTCGTTCGATTTTCGGACAACTGCCCCATCATGCGCAGACCATTGTGGATTTCAATTAGCATTCGTTAGCAATATCACCTTGCCGAATTTCGTCGATTGACAGAACGGATTTTTGTTTGCGCATGAGCAGTGTTCTTATTGCGATTTTTTTTGGTACTAAAACGCCACTAATCCATCGATTTTCCTATGATTCGAAAAAGTTTTCTAGCCTGCTGGACAGACAAAAGTCGACGGTTGTGTGGTAATTGCGGTTGTGCACTTCCCATCAACTGTGCGATTATCGTATGAAATCTCGATAGCAGGTGAAAACCGGGCGATAATCGTAAAGTATATGGGCACCTTTAGGACTGTCCTCCCAACCCCAACCGCCCCTTTGGAGTGTCAGTACATCATACAGAATGACATATTGTACAGAGTAACATATTGTACAGGGTCAAAAATTTCGTATTCATAGCATCTCAAAACCCCAACATACATTTACCCAGAGACCTTCAGAAGGAAAAAGCCAATCCGCTCAACCCACTCTTTCCGCAGACTCTACCCAACCACCCCACACTTTTGTGAACTTACTGGGGTATCCTCTGCTTTGATACGTAGCCTTGTAGAGGCTTAGGTAGGAATTGACTAGGCCCTTCCAGTCAGAGCTCTGTACAGCTGCATTTTAACAATGTTTAGCAGGTGGCAAACTAGACGAGTATTCTGAAAACGCTATGCGCGCATGCGCACCGCAACTGTACAGAGCTCAAGTCTTTCTGAGCACCAAAAGTGAGGTAGTTGGAGATTTCGATGAGTTGGAGCTTTCGATAGAACACCGACTTTATGCTCCTTCGTCACCCGTGACGAGGGAGCATGGACCCGGCTTCTCGGCCAATCAGGAAGCTGGGCAGCGTGTAATGACTCACTGCCCGGCTTCCTGATTGATTGGGAAGCTGGCCAATGAGGTACCTGGGCGCCGTGTAATGATGCAGCGCCCGGCTTTCTGATTGGCCGGGAAGCCGGCTTCATGCTTCCTCATCACCAGGAAGCACGGCACCTGGGTTCCTGATTGGCCAGAAAGCCGGCTCCATGCTTTCTAGTCACCTAGTGACGAGAGGCCTGGGGACAGCTTCCCTGCTAATCGGGAAGCCGGGTGGCGAGTCTTTTCACGCTGCCCGGCTAATCAGTAAGCCGGGTGGCGAGTCATTACACGCTGCCTGGCTTTCTTAATAAGACTTCCGGTATCAGTATTCGGTATCGGCAAGTACCGGGAAAAAAATATTGGTACTCGTACTCAATACCGAAATACCGGTATCGGTGCATCCCTAGCTGATGTGGTAGCTAAACTAAAAAGATGTTTTCAGTAAATGACAGAAAGTGCCCACTTCTCAGCCTGCCCAAGTTTTACAGGAGCCCCTTACTATTGAAGAAATGCAGGATTGTGAATTAAAGCCCCACACTGTGTTTTAATATTCCAGATATGTCTTTATTTAATGCAGGGATGAGGGGACAGTATAGAAATAGACAACGCGTTTCAGGGGCTCATATCATTAACCCCTTCATCAGGGTTTGTCCAGTGTGGGAGAATGTATAAAGCTCTTCAGCAGCTTACTTGGCAGTGGACTATTGAAGAGAAAAGGAAGCCAGCATCCCTTGATGCCTTAGCCACTGGTGCTGAGGTCAGAGAAATATCTGCCATTTTTCTTTTGTATGTCCTTTTTCTTTCCTTTTTTTTAACCTTGTAATCCTGCAAAAAACACACTGGGAGTGAGGACTGGGTATAACGCATAAAGGAAGTGACATTAGGTGTGAGTACTGGGTATAGCGCATAAAGGAAGTGATACTGGGAGTGAGGACTGGGTATAGCGCATAAAGGAAGTGATACTGAGAGTGAGGACTGGGTGTAGTGGATAGAGGAAGTGACACTGGGAGTAAGGACTGGGTATAGCGGATAAAGGAAGTGACACTGGGACTGAGGACTGGGTATAGTGGAAAAAGGAAGTGACACTGGGACTGAGGACTGGGTATAGTGGATAGAGGAAGTGACACTGGGAGTGAGGACTGGGTATAGTGGATGGAGGAAGTGACACTAGTGGATGGAGGAAGTGAGGACTGGGTATTGTGGATAGGGGAAGAGACAGTGGGAGTGAGGACTGGGTATAGTGGATGGAGGAAGTGAGGACTGGGTATTGTGGATAGGGGAAGAGACAGTGGGAGTGAGGACTGGGTATAGTGGATGGAGGAAGTGAGGACTGGGTATTGTGGATAGGGGAAGAGACAGTGGGAGTGAGGACTGGGTATAGTGGATGGAGGAAGTGAGGACTGGGTATTGTGGATAGGGGAAGAGACAGTGGGAGTGAGGACTGGGTATAGTGGATGGAGGAAGTGAGGACTGGGTATTGTGGATAGGGGAAGAGACAGTGGGAGTGAGGACTGGGTATAGTGGATAGGGGAAGAGACACTGGGAGTGAGCACTCTCTTGCAGTGTTACAGCTCTATTCTGTATACCAGTGCTCTTTTCCAGAGTCACCTCCTCTGCTCAGTATACTTAGTGCTCACTTTTAGTGTCACTCCTCTGCCCAGTATAACCAGTGCTCTTTCCCAGTGTCACTCCTCTGCCCTGCCCATTATACCCAGTGCTCTCTCCCAGTGTCACTCCTCTGCCCAGTATACCCAGTGCTCTCTCCCAGTGTCACTATTTAAAAATAAATAAAAAAATACATTTGATTTGCACATGAAATATCATCTGTCTTGGAGAAGTCTAGGAAGGTATAGTGTGAAGAAGAAACATTTGTTTTCAGTGTCATCTGAGCACATTTGGAGGAAATTCATAAAAACTTGAGCAGACACAATCTGGAGCTGTCGCCCATGGCAACCAATCAGCTTCTCTCTTTCATTTTCCAATCTTCCGTGAGCCAACTGAAGAGAGAAGGTGATTGGTTGCCATAGGAGAAGTGTCTGCTCCAGTTTCTATGAATTTCCCCCATTATAGCTGAAGGTCAAAACAGAAGATAAACTTTTCAGAGCTGATCAGTGTAGCTGTAAACCGACATCCCTGACCCCACTGTAAGGAATCACATGACACCGTGCTAGAGAGCGAGAGGCGTGGTCACACGGTAGAGGAGTGGTCACATCGGGAGAAGTTTGGTTACAATGTACAGGAAGCGTCGATTATGATACAATGGAGACTACATCAAGCTGGATAATGTGACAGAGCGGAGTGACCGCACTTGTCATTTCACTTCCAAAGAGGAATGGCGACACTAGGGAACGAAGAGATATTATGCGCGGGGAGAGGAGGAGTTACTGCTAAGGGGCGAAGTTTTAAAAATGTCTGGCAGGGTTACTGACAGGAAGGCGTGGTTATAGAGGGGAAAGAGGCGGGATTACTCTCAGGGAGGAGGGGCTAAATAAATAAGTGGCCGAGGAGGAGGGGTTTTACGAGAGAGATATGAGTGGCGAGTAGGCTATAGTATACGGGGGAAAGGGGTTATTGCTGGCGGGGAGGAGGACCTGTACGGAGCAGAGGAGGAAGTAGAGGCAGGGAGGAGGAACTGTACGGAGCACAGGATGAATTACTGTCGGGAGGGAGGGGTTATACACGCTAGAGAGGAGTTTTTATTGGAAGAGAGGCGAGATTACTGATGTAGGGGCGGGGCCATACGTTAGAAGTGTTGCTGTTGGTAGGAGAAGTTATGCGGCGAGGGGATAGGTTATTTTAGAAAAAGAGGCGGGGCTAA